ACTACTTGCTTATTAACCACGTTATATATTATTTAAATTAGATATAATATATATATTTATATTATAAATATAAAAATTAGTAAAGAAAAGGATTTTAATTAGTTTTAGATTTTTCTTTATATTATAATTAAATTATTAATAGTTAAATATTATAGAATTAGGGTAGGTATATAACTTATTTATTTATATAACTTATTTATTAACTATATTAATATAATATTAAATAGTAAAATAGTTATAATATAACTAAAAAGAAGCTAAGATATATATAAAGAATAGTTTTATACTTATTACCTAGACTTCTTAGTCTTAAAGTTTAAGTTAATATACTTTTAATATAAATAAATAGTAAATCTAAGCTTAATATAACTTAACTTAATAGTTCTTTACTTAGAATTAAATATAAGACTTTTAGGGGTATAATTATTATAGGGCCTAGGTTAATAAAAGTAGACTATAATAGTAAAAGAGAAAATAATAAATATATACTAGGCTTTATATATATTTATAAAGATAATATAAAGACTAAAAGTTAAAGAAGTTAAAAAACTTTATCTTTAAAAAATCTAACTAATTATAACTTTTAAAGTAATAAGCTAATATATATCTTATAAAAATATAATAATAGGCCTAGCCTAGACTATATATAAACTATAAGTAAAGTACTTAAGGATAATTACTAGTACCTTTTATATTACTTTTATTTACTAAATAGAGAAAGAATTAGAGGTATTACTAATTAACCTTTACTTAATTACTAGGAAATACTAGATACTTACTTACTAGGAAGATAGTAAGGCTATAGCCTAGCTCTACTATATAACTACCTAGGTTAGTACTTAAGTCCTTTTTTAATAATAAAGACCTAGATACTAAAAGGTAAAGCTATTACTAGTAATATTATATATAAAACTCCTTAATATAGCTATAAAGACCTTAAAATAAAATAAAAAAGTACTTAGGAAGTAACTAACTATAGCTAGTCTAGCTTAATAAAAAATGAATAAGATAGCTTAATAATATAAAACTTAATATTTTATAGTCTACTTAATATATAAACTATTATAAGTTTATAATAAAAGATAAGTAAACTTAGTACTTAATTTATTATAGTTTATTAGTTTATTATTAATATAGCTTTATATAAGAAAAGTTAGACTTAATACCTTCTTTTATAAATATAAGGTATTTAAGTATAATATATTATTATATAATTATAAAGGTAAAGTAAAAGATATTTACTACTTTATACTAGACTATATATATACTAGAGATTAACTAGGACTAAAGATAAGCCTATTATAAGACTAGAAAATTTTATAACTAATACTAGACTACCTAAAGAAAGTGATATAGGTAATATAATAAGTATATTTATTAGATAGACTAACTTATATTTAGACCTATAATAAAGTAAATATAGTATAAGATAAAAGTAAGGAAAATAGAATTAATTAAAACCATAGTAGGATTAGGAGTAGACTACTAATATTATAAAGATACCTTAAAATAAAATATAAAAACTTAACTAATAACCCTTTTTTACTTATACTAATATTAATATATACTTAGCTTAATAATATACTAGGCCCTACTTTTTATAAAAAGTTATATTTTACTAGTTATATTAAAATAAAAAGAAAATAAAATTTAAGGTCTAGGCTATACTTAGCCTATTAGAGGGCTAAAACTATTATAACTTTACTACTTAGGTATCCTATTTATCTTTATTATCTTAGGTAATATTAGCTTTAATAACCCTAGCTAGGCCTTAGGCTATAACTAAGGTATATAAGAGCTAGTTATTCTATTTTATCTTCTCTAAGATATAGTCTAATATTTTAGTATTAGCCTAAATAGCCTTAGCCTAGGCCTAGTCCTCTTCTAAGGTAAAAGTAGGTATTATAATAATACTAGTTAAAGTAATAGTAAGACTAGAGAGGGTATAGTATATATTTACCTTAGTATAAATACTACTAGTATTATAGTAGGTATAAAGGGTAGTCTAGATTAAGGTTAATTACTTAGTAAGGAGAGGTAATCTTATAATAAAGCTAGGCTAAGTTAATAGCTAATCCTAGTAGGCCTAGGCACTAGTAGTAATAGGTAGTAAGGGCTAGGATAGTTAAAAGAGTAAAATAAGAGTAAAGTAAAACTAAAAAAAACATAAACTAATCTTAAGATAACTATTATTATTATCTATATAGGTAATATAAGTATATATCATATTCCTTAATATATTTATTAACTAACCTAGACTAAACTATTTATAAAATAAGACTAGACTTATTAACTTACTAATAATAAGTAATATAATTTTTTTAATTTATATAACTTATATAAAGGTTATATAATATTTAAGTAGGTTTATTATAAGACTATTTTATTTTTAGTTATTTAGTAAAGTAGGTAGTTATAATATTAGTATTAGATTAAGAGAGGTTAGAGGATAAACTAGAGTAAGGGTAAATAAAGGAGGTCTTATATAATAATAAGGGAGTAGAAAAGTAAAGTTTTATTAATATTATTATAAGATAAGTAGTATACTAGGAGAGTAGTAGGCTAAGGGTAGCTTAAGACTAGAAAAGGGGGGAGACTTATAAGAGTTATAGTAATAAAGGTAATATAAAAAGAGTACTATAGAAGTAAGGTTAGTATAATTATAAGACTAATAGTAAAGTAATACTAGATAAAGTAAAATATAGCTAATTTTAAGTAAAGAAGGTATATAATATATAAAAAATTAAAGTTAAAGAAGGGAAAAAGAAGAAGAAGAGAAATTATAAAAAATAAGGCCTTTTAAAGCTAATAACTAAAAAAGCTATTTACTTAAGTATAAAATAAAAAGAAATATATACTTAATAAATATAAAATATAATAAATAATAAATAAAAGTAATAATAATAGTTTAGTATTATATATTTATTAATATACTTATAAAGGTAAATAAGGATATACCTACTCCTTAACTAAATATAGAGTAACTTTAACTTTACTAATAAAGGAACCCTTATAAAAGTAAATATAGTAAGTATATACTACTAACTATACCCTAGACCTAATATAAAGGTAAGATATACTAATACTTACCTTCTTCCCTTATATCTTATAGTATACCCCTTCTTACTAACCCTAAAACCTTAACTATCCTTTATTAAGATAAGGAGCTATATTAGCTTCTACTAGGAGTAGTAATAAGATAGTAGTAAGCCTATATAGTAGAATAGGTTTTCCTTTAGGAACTTTAGTTTTTCTTATTTTTATAAGAAGTAAAAGTACTAAATAAGTTATAGAACTTAACTAAGGTAATTTAATAATAATAATAATATATTTAAGAGTTCTAAAAAA